TCCCTGTGTCTATTGGCTGTCCCGTCTCTCTGCTAGCCCAGAGTCTACTGACTGCCCCACCTCTCTGCTATCCCAGTGTCTGTTGGCTGCCCTACCTCTCTGCTATTTCAGTATCTATTGGCTGCCCCACCTCTTGGTTATCCCAGTGTCTAGACAGTGATAAGGACCTGTGGCAGGGGGATCCAGACTTGTTTGGTGAGAGGGATGATGAAGCTTGCCAGTCGTGACACCATGCTGCTGCTCCCCACAGCCAAACACCTGAAAACACCAGAAGAAATAAGACACTGGTAGCAACAGTGGACAGGCAAAGCAAAGGGGTGCCGAGGATGACAGATTCACCACCCGCCACCCCCTTCTCACTCTCCCACAATGAGGAGAAACAATAAAATTCAGAAATAAGTCAGATGTTTTCCAAGTCAACCATGACTTCTACCTTCATATTGTGAAATGATTGTGTATATGAGCATGTGTGGAAATAACCAGGCTAGCTAAGGATAAAAAATTACATTTCATTTATTATAAGGGGAAAACTCACTAAACAGGAAACAATAAATCCAAGCACTGCAATATCCTACAGGAAAAGGTGCAGAGAGGGTGCACACATAGGTGCACACCTTTTTACCTGGGTCCCAGCAAAGCCACGCCTTAACTAAGACCCACCTCTTAAAGATTATTGGTTAACAAGGCTTTCCCCATCAAGCATGCATGTAAGAAAGGCATAAACCATCTTTAATCTGCTGTTTAAATGAGGCCCGTAGGTATACAGACCCAGCTTAATGTCAAGGACTAGACAGATTTGTTAAGGGTAGGGTATGGTAACTTGAAAGAACCAAATATTTGTTTATAGACTGCTCTATTAATGTCAAATAAACCTTTGAGATTTTATTTTTTGAAGAAGGCAGGTGCTGGATCCCCTGGAGCTACATTTATAATCTGAAGTTGTAAAGGCTGATGTACAGGTTCCCCTTTGACTCAGGATATAATTCAAGAGGACAATATATAAAAGGTACTATAATTTCTGCTGGGTCTATTCCTGCTAATTGACAAAGTCTCAATTTTCCTTTTAGAATTAATTCAGAGGCCTCTTCCACATAAATTTTTAAGTTTTTACTTGGTTTATGTGGTAAAAAGATCCATTCTAAGATAATATCTTCCCTTTGCATTAAAGTTCCTGTAGGGGAACATTTGGAGGGTAATATGACCATGATGCAGTGACGATTCAGACTCACATGAGTTACAGTGTGCCTCCGATAATTTCTTTTCAATCAAAGCCAGTTCTCTATCAGCTTCAGTTGGTAATTCCCTGGGACTATGTAAGTCTTTGTCACCATCTAAAGTTTTGATTAAATGAATTATTTGATGAGGTTTTATTCTAGAAGTGGGCTGCAGATTGGAAATGTCTCCTATCAAACTTTAGAAGTCATTAAGAGTTTGTAATAGATCTCTTCTAATTTGCATTTTTTGTGTCATAATTTTCTGCAAACCGATTTTATAACCTAGATCATTGATAGACTCTCCTCTTTGTATTTTTTCAGGAACAATTTGTAATCCCCAGTGAGGCAAAATTTTCATTATTTCTTCAAACATTCTTTCTAAAGTATCTACATTTGGTCAGATAGCAAAATGTCATCCATGTAATAGTAAACTATAGATTCAGGAAATTGCTTACGTATCATTTCCAATGGCTGACTCACAAAATATTGGCATAGGATGGGGCTATTTAACATTCTCTGTGGGAGAATCGTCCATTGATATCTTTTAGCAAACTGAGAATTCTTATAAGTAGGCACTGTGAAGGCAAATTTTTCTCTGTCCTTTCCTTGTAAAGGTATAGTGAAGAAGCAATCTTTTTAATCAGTTACTATAAGAGGCCATCCTTTAGGCAATAGGGAAGGCAAAGGAATTCCAAATTGCAGAGGGCTAATTGGTTGAATCACCTTATTAACAAGCTCTTAGATCTGTTTTCCATTTTCCAGATTTCTTTTTAACAACAAATACAGGAGAATTCCAAGGGCTGGTTTATTCTTCAATAGGCTGAGAATCTCATTGCTTCTGTACCAGCTATTCTAAAGTCTGCAGTTTCTCTATTGTTAAAGGCCATTGTTTAACCCATACAGGTTTTTCTGTCACCTATTTTAAAGGTAGAGCCGTTGGTACCTCTGAGAGTTTGCCAGTTATTGTTCTGTGATTGTGTACTGCCTGAATGACCAGTATCTATTGTTTATAGTACCTTATATTATCCTTCCCAAAAAGCATGAGTTGCTGTATTGTAAGGAGCCGTCAGAACATCGCCATTGTCAAATGGTGCTGGCGTCCTGCAGCTTGGAGGTAAACAAATCCTTTTGAAGTTGCCTTGGCCTGTATTTGCATAACTGAGACTTGGTTCCCTGGCCTGTCCTGAGGCCCTGGGCTTCAGCAGAATGATATTCACCAATCAGAACAGTGTCTGAGCCTCTCCACCCTAGAAAAGCAGCTGCCGCTTGGCTTTTCGCTCTCTCTCATCCCCCATTCCCCCTTCAACCTAGTGGCTCCAATAAAGTTGTGATTTGGGAAGAATTCTCGATTTCATGGTCGTTCCTGCTTGCTGGTCAAGCAGCGCCCCACACTGTATGTTTCTGAGACTGCAGGAATGTTTATCTGGGTATACCATTGTTGTAACTGATCACTACCCCATAGATTCACTACTATATTAACCACATATGGCCTTAGCCTTCCTCTCTGTCCTTCTGGCCCCACGCATTCAACACATCTCATGCTTTGTTTTACCTTAGATAGGGTTCCAATTCCTAAGAATTGAACCTCTGCATCCTGAAGAGGCCAATTCAGATGCCATGATTCTGTAGTAATAACAGCCACATCTGCACCTGTGTCTAATAATCCTTCCATTATAATGTTATTTATTTGTACTCTCAGCTTTGGTTTTTTATCATTTATAGAAGTCTACCAAAAATATGTTTACTATTTTCTGTTGGAATTTTCATTCATCCTCCAAGATTATTCTATCATTCAGAGTAGCACGGTTTTTTATAACAGACATTGAATTTTCTAATTTTTCTGGGGAGGTGTGTCCTTTACAATGACTGGGAATTACTGGACCAATTCGATGTGGAGGCCTGTGAGGGGGTCCTCAAGGGGTTTCCTGATAACTGGTTACCTTGTTTGTCTCTTTTTGCTCTACATTCATTGGTGCAATGTCGGCCTTTGCCACATCTTCTGCATAACCAGAGGTTGAGGTCTTCTATTAGGGTGATCCCCAGAAGAAACTATATTTCTAGGAATGCCCTGTCTATAATTCCTTCTCAGATGGCCTATTCACCCACAATTAAAGAATTTTGTATTTTGATGTCTCTTTGTAACTTTGGAAATCACTTCACCTACCCAAGTTTACGTGTTATAGTCAAAGGACACAACATTGTCTGTGTGTAGGATCCATTGATCCATTGGTGCTGATCTGACATTTAAGGGCCCAAGTATCTTTTTGCATCCTAAGTTAGCATTTTCAAAAGCCAGAAATTTAATAACGACTCATTTAACTTCTGGATCTGCTACTCAGATTTGTACAGCTTTAGTTAACCTTTGCAAAAAGTAACTAGTCCTCTCGGGCCTTGTATAACCTTAGCATACAATTCAATTCTTTTTCCTGGTTCTTGAATCTTGTGCAAAGCATTCAAGGCTGCTGTATGGCATAGGGACAATATGTGTTCATTGTATGTGGCTTGACTATTTGGATTAGCATAAAGGCCCTCACTAAGAATTTGGTCTTGGGAAGTCTTGAACCCTCTGCCTCTACCTTGATTTTCAAGGACCTCAGCCTCATCTCTCCAAAAACCCTTCCACTGAAGCTGTGGACCATGGCCTAGTACAGCTGAGACTAGTTGCAGCCTGTTGTGTGGAGTAACCTTATATCTTGAAGCCCATGTCTTTACCAACTCCCTCACATATGGTGAATGCATGCATAAGATACTACTGCTTGTTTAACATCTTTTAGGTCTTTCATACATATAGGTTTCCATTTACATTCTATATATCCTTTTGGGTATTGAGCATTTGCTGAATTTTCAGAGGTAATAACAGCATAAGTAGCCAAAGCTCTTGGTAAGTCATCTCTGACTCTGAGAGGTACTGGTGATGCTAAATCTTTACTATTGACTTTTGCCTGTGCAACCTCTCTTTGCTTATCTGTTCTGACAAGTTCCTCAATTGATTCAAATCTTTTTATCACCATCTTTTATAAAGTCTGAGTCTCTTGACCATGGATATTTCTAATAATTTCATCAAATCAATTAATTTCTGGTTCTCATTCTGTACATGTGTCCAACTTTTTACATTTTTCCACCCTTAGAGAGAATGGCATGTAGACTGCCTTTCAGGAGGGATGTGCTGTCTGCTAGCTTGCCATAACTTTTTCACAGATTTTCATTGTCAATTTCAACAATATGAATCCTTTTGGATAATCTCAGTACAATTCTATAAGGTTTCATAATCCACTGACATGGATTGAATTTTATCTGTCAAATTATGGTTATTGTTTTCAATGGTATGAATCCTTTCATCCAACTTCTCATTACTAGTCTGTAAAGTTTGTATCATTTCTAAAAGTTTTTCACTCTTGACTCTGCTATCTAATCATTTCTTTAACGATACAATAGGAATTATCAAAATGATAGCAGCTATGGCTAAGAATGTGTAAGTCCCAGGCAGGTCATACACCTCTCAGAATTCCAACCATAATAGAAATAAAAAGGTTATTAAATTCTTGGATGGAGATATATCTGTAATTATCTTAGGAGTGGTTTACAAATTGCAAAAAAAAAAATTAGAGTTAGCAGATGACTGACCTCTGTTAAAACAATGGTTTAGTTGAGACTTTTAAGGTGTAATAACGATGTGGACCAGAAAAATCTGCAGATTTTCTAAGCAGAACTCAAAACCAAACTGAACAGAATTTTGTTAAAGAGAATCAGACGGAGCAACCATATAGCAAGCAGTTGCACATGGATTGCAATAGTCAGGGGAAGCTGTGGTAGCCACATGAGAGCCACACATGCATGGGGCTGGGGCCAAGTCATGGGACTACAGGAGCCACAGAGGCTGCAGGAAGTCATGTGGGTGCCCTATGGGGTGGCAACAAGGACGGGTACAGCAGGAGAGGAAGCTACGCCACGGTGGACAGGAGCTAGGAGCACTAATGTTCCTCCCAAATCCAGGTGGCTTAGTTTGGGTTTCAATTCCTAGAGCTGAAACTGCAATCCCAGCTC